GAGAGGATTGGATGCCTTTTTACGAATTTTGTAACCCAATCCTTACCGACTAAAGGAGAGGGGGTAGATCCACGCGCCGCGAGTAGTAAATCCGCCATTTCTCGTACGGTAGAAGGCCGAGGGGCTGCTCCGCGAGAGTCCATAGAGAGAATCCATTTTTGAAGCGATTCCTCCTCAATTTCGGTCAATTTATGTGAATTTGCGCGAGTTTCAGCGCGAAATGGACAGCCGGTAACGCGTCGCTGTAGTGTTGTACGGGGTACGTTAAACTGACGCGCTGCATCACGAATTGATAGGATTTCTTGCTTCTTAATAGCCTGGATAGCTAATAAGATCCTACCCTCTTGCTCCGTACGATTTTGAGAGGATTGAGTACGAATTGGTGGCATAGTGGGTGGTTGAAGAAGGAAGGTCTAATTAATTGACGCGTTTTACGTTAGGTGGCCCACTCGGTAGGGGTGGCCCACTCGGTAGGGAAATACGTTATATAGTATAGACCGTAATATACTAGTATAATACCTTTTGCTATAAATATAAGGTTTAACCGCTAATAACTCGCTTACTAATAGACCTACTAGTTTATAAATAGTATATTTGAAATCAGCTGACTTTTCTCTATCGAATAAGCCCCTTACTAAATTTGTAGTATATAGAACTAGCTAGTTAAGGTGCCCGACGTACTAGGTAAACCCTTCTGTTAACGTGGCCGCTGAGAGTAAAATACGGGGTGTAAGATACGAATACGGGGTAATCTATTTAGTAAGGGCTGCCATAGATAAGGGTGGGTATCCGATTACGGTAATAAATCCCGTCGGTCGCAACGCATGTAAACCTTTCACCTATATTTGATCATCCACCACACCACCATTATTAGTCTGATCGTCGTCAAACTTTCACAATTCCTAGGTATTATAGTTAAATAGCCTGTGTCTAATTTATAGACTAATCGGAGCAATACGTAGCCCGTGGTCATAGAGTCTACGTCGGACCTTTGGTACTACAACCACCCCCTTTACCTATTTTTGATTATCCACTACACCACCATTATTAGTCCGATTATCATAAAACTTTCATAGATCCTAGATTCACTAGTTACATAGACCGTGTCTAATTTATAGACGAATCGGAGCAATACGTAGCCCGTGGTCGTAGAGTCAACGTCGAACCTTTAGTACTACAACCACCCAAAAAGGTACAAAATCCCGTACCCCAAGAAAACATCTCCGATGTATAATCGCCATTTTCTCGATAACTAGTAGTCTGCGCATACTCCGAAGCGAATCGGAGATATTTCAGATGGTCTATTATAACTACCCAAAATTTCAGAGTGCTAGGACATCATTAGACCTCAGTAGTCTGGCGAGGAAAAGAACCTGTAGTCAGGGTGGCCCCACTTTTAAAGTACCATAGTTAAGAGCCAAGCCCTAACCTGTAGTCTGGCAGACTACAGCACCCCCCGTGGGATAGGGTATTAACCACGGTTGGTGGCTGCCATACGTCGCATTCATGCGCCCGCTCGGAGGTTTGAACAATATGCGCAATTTGACGTGCCGTACGTAGTGGAAGTCGATGGTTCGCCGATTGTAGGTGTCGTAAGACCTCTCTCGGTCTAATAACGTGCTCGCATGTCTTACACACGAAGACTGGGTCTGTCGAAGGTTCGTGAAAAAATTGGGCTGCCATAGTTGACTAGTACGATATATATATCGTGATATAATGAATTGCATGAAATTTGACGAATGTCGAATGCTGACTTTGGGGTGAAATGGTGTAAAAAAACGTGAGATGATAGCTAGGCAGCGTCTTAACCCCTGAATTAATTGCTACCCCTCCCGATCATTATACACTAGCATTATCGAAGTAATTAGATTCGTCTACGGACCTGTGGTAGCGTCTTTGGTAGTAAACGTACGCCGTAAAGGTACAAAATCCCG